CTTGAGCCTTGGAAGGTCGAGGCTACAGTGAGCCAAGATTGTGCCACTGCACTCCATCCTGGGCGACAAAGACCCTGTCTCAAAGAAGCAAAACCAAAAAGTTTGTCTAAATCTTTTTCACGTCTGGCGTGGCGGATGTGAATAGCCAGGCCCTCCTGGGTGCCTCTGCGTTAGGTGGTTTGCTTGATGCATTTGGAGAAACCTGCAGGGGAACATGCTTTTGTGGCCTCTCAGGATCAGTGTGGCTGTTCTTCGGTGCTGCACCAAAACTCCACCAGTCTTCAAGGTGAGCTGCAAGGTGGAATCTGAGGTCCACCCATCAGTAAGAGTTTTCTCCTGGTATTCACAGAATCCACTGACTTGTCTCACGCTGGCCTTTGACCCAGACAGGAGTTCTAACATCGGTCCTTCGGACAGCCCTGGTTTTGGTTTCCTGCCTTACTCGGGGCTCCCAGATGTTGATCCGCTTCAGTTTACAGTATTAGGACATCACTTTCTCCTCGGAAAGTAAACATGGGAAGCTGTCAGGCTTTTAGTGGAAGATGAAAGTTTCCGCATTTTACTTTTCATTAGACTGTAAGTTTTACCATTGTCGGGAAGTTCTTTCCATTGTTCCCCTTGAAGTGGCGGGCTCGCCTCATTCCTGCCAAGACCCAGGTCCGTGTACTTAAAGTGCTGCCCATCTTTCCTCTGTGTGAGAGTGCGCCCTGCAGAGAGTGGACCTGGCATGTGCAGGAGCTGTGTGCACCGCCGTCGGGTCCCTACACATGAGCAGTGTGGACCCCAGGCTGAGCCATGAATGTGAGAGCCGTCACAGAGCTGTGATTGTTTCCTGCACTGTGTGGTGGGCATGTGCCAGCGCTGGTGTGGCCCTGGCTGCTTTTGCACCCTTGGTGCATGCAACAAACGGCAGAGCAGCTCTGCCCAGCAGAAGCCATTTATTGGGTCTCAAGGGATCTGTAGACCCCCTGTGAGAGCAGCTTATTCTGAGATGTGCTGAGCAGAGCCCAGCTGGAGTGGGGGAATGGGGGCACACCACGTCCACATGTCCACTGCACTACTGATATCCTCAGTGGACAGGACGGCCACAGGACCTGGCCCCGCTGGCTGGGCTCTGTCTCTGTCCAGCCCCTCTTTTGGCCAGTGCAAAACAGTTGAGTTTCACAGGGGCCTTGTGCGAATGAGAAGAGCCGTGTGATCTCACTGTCCACCTTCTCTCACCTCTCAGCTTCATTTCTGAAGTTTCCAGGGCCTCCCCCTGTGCCTGTTCACAGCGGGAGGGAAAGGGGGCTGGTATTTGGGGCTAGATAAGGAATCCTACAGTGATCTGTCTCTTCCTAAGGATGCATCCCAGGCTTACCCTCATACAGAGAACAAGCGCAAAGGTGGGGAGGGGAGGGGCCCCCCTTAAGATCCCAGATTTGCCCTTGAGGTGGGGGTTTCTGGGAAGGAACTGGGGGCAGCAGGGCTGATTGACGTCCTATGGGAAAGTGGCCTCTGCATTTCTTTGGGATTCCCAGCGATGGTACCTGACCATGGGCAAGATGGGAAGCGTCTGTCTACCCTGTTAGGCTGGGCCCCAGGTCTGAAACTGCTGCCTTTGCCCATTCTCATGATACAGCTCTACCCAAACCCAGGACAGGTACCAGGCAGCTTTCAGGCAGTGCCATGGGCCAGGCCAGGGGTGGCTGCCAGGAGACTCACTGCTGCCAGAACCTGGCATCCGGAAACAGATTCTAAGAGGAGTCAAAGCCGAGGGTGTTCCTTAAGTTGGCAGTTTTATTTTAGGTGTCCTAAAGGTCTTTGGTTTTTCTTTTTTTTGGGGGGGGGTGGTGGGAGGGAGCAGGGTCTCGCTCTGTCACCCAGGCTGGAGTGCAGTGGGGCATTCTCAGCTCACGGCAACCTCTGCCTCCTTGGTTCAAGCGATTGTCTGCCTCAGCCTCCTGAGTAGCTGGGATTGCAGATGTGCAACACCACGCCTGGCTAATTTTTGTATTTTTAGTAGAGACAGTTTCGCTATGTTGGCTAGGTTGGTCTCGAGTTGGCCTTAGGTGATCCACCCACCTCAGCCCCCCAATGTGCTGGGATTACAGGCATGAGCCACCACCATGCCCAGCTGGTCTTTGGTTTTTCTGTTGTTTAATTGGTGTTCTCTTTAGTTCTGACATAGAAGTTTGCACAATCCTTTTTTTATAGATGAAGATATAGAAGTTCACATAATCCTAGGCCGGGTGCAGTGGCTCACACCTGTAATCCCAGCACTTTGGGAGGCCAGGGCAGGAGGTTCACGAGGCCAAGAGAGCGAGACCATCCTAGCCAACATGGTGAAACCCCGTCTCTACTAAAAATACAGAAAGTAGCTGGGTGTGGTGGTGCACACCTTTAGTCCCAGCTACTCGGGAGGCTGAGGCAGGAGAATTGCTTGAACCCAGGAGGTGGAGATTGCAGTGAGCTGAGATGGCACTACTGCACTCCAGCCTGGTGATGGAGTGAGACTGTCTCAAAAAAAAAAGTAGCCGGGCGCGGTGGCTCAAGCCTGTAATCCCAGCACTTTGGGAGGCCGAGGCGGGTGGATCACGAGGTCAAAAGATCGAGACCATCCTGGTCAACATGGTGAAACCCTGTCTCTACTAAAAATACAAAAAATTAGCTGGGCATGGTGGCACGTGCCTGTAATCCCAGCTACTTAGGAGGCTGAGGCAGGAGAATTGCCTGAACCCAGGAGGCAGAGGTTGCGGTGAGCCGAGATCGTGCCATTGCACTCCAGCCTGGGTAACAAGAGCGAAACTCCGTCTCAAAAAAAAAAAAAAAAAAAAAAAAAGTAGTTTACACAATCCCTCTTTTATAGATGAAGAAACCAAGGCTTTGTAACTAACTCAACCCTACAAGAAGGACAAAACTGGCACCAGAGCACCTTGCTCCTGGATCTGGCAAGAATGCCTCCTGTTCGCTGAGATGTCCACATGTTTATCCAGCTCAAGAGTAGGAGATGAAAGGTGACCAGGTCAGTGCCAGCCTTTCTCTGAGCTGCTCTGAGTCCGGGCAGCTGAGGTGCTCCTCTGGGAATGTTCTGCCATCCACGAGGTAGCGCAGGCCTGGAAGCTTTTGTTCCACTGAACTCTGCCAGGGAGCTATACTTAGCCACGCGAGTGGAGGCCAGGAGTGGGTTCTCTGAATATAGATAGTAACAAGCAGGCTATTTTCAAATACTTAGAGAACCTCCCTGATTATTTGGGGACAAAATGATATTTATAGACTGCTCTGGGCTCTTGGACGCAAAGGCAATAACCTTAGTGCCTTTTGGCGTTCAGGAGAGAAGCTTCTTTCAACAGGGAGTGGGTGAGGGACCTGGTCACCCAGAGGCCCGCTGTCCCTCAACACCTGTTTCCAGGAGGCCAGGCGTCCTCTTTGCTTTTCCATTATGAGTCAGAGAGCAGCAAGAGGCACGCGGTGCCCCACTGATTCTCCTTCCTGCACACCCTGGTGAGGGTCCTGTCAGGCCTGCCGTGTGCTGTCAGGGAAGACATCATCAGGGGACTTCTCCTGCTGTGAGGAGGGTGTAGCCCCTGCCTTTCAGAGGTCGGGACACCCTCAGACTCCTGTCCAGGATCCTCAGAGATGTCCTAGGCTTCCACTCTCAGCCAGATGTCACTGGGCTGTAATGAAACACCTCCTTCCAGTGTGCCCAGCTCCTGCAGCCTCCCGTCCATCCTTGCCCCACCTCCCACCCCGGAGAAAGACTGACAGTGTACCTGGAAGAGTTTGCTGGAAAGGCCTTCCCTAGGGAGGAGAGTGGAAATCTGACCAGTGAAGGTTAGGGTGGGAAAAGTAGGCCTGGGTCCTGGGAGGAGGAGCTGGCCAAGCCCCAAGCCCCCGACGGCTGTGAGCAAAGCTGAGACACCCCCTTCCTGGTGCTCAAGCTGCAGGTGTTAGAGAGGGCCCCAGAAGCCCAGATTTTAAGTGACCGCCACAGGTTAACCTGAGGATGGTAAGGCAGAACAAGGAGAGGCCAGGCAGGAAGCAGGGCAAGGCGGGGCTCGTGGGCAGTGGCCAGGGGTGTTCTGGGTGGGGCTGGCTGCCCACACTGCCTCTGCCTTGGGCCGGACCTGAGCGGAGTGGCTCCTCCATTCATTACACCCCAGCCCCCCGGCGTGTGCCCTGCCTTTCCTCTGCCCCTCTCTCTGCCAACCCATCCTCTCCCTCCCAGCCCCTGTCTGCCCAGATATAAATATAAGTGCATTTTCCATGGGCCGATACAGAAGGGAAAACATGCAGCTTTATTTTCGGCTTGTGAAATTCCTGTGCTTCATTCCCAACAGGTGCAACAGCCTCATTTAGATATTGGGGCCCAGAAATAGGATACAATTTACAATATAGCTTCCTTTAGGCATCTGGATGCTACTTAAAAAAAAAAAAACCCTCCTGTGAGATGCCGAGACAGCACAAAGCTTGGCTGCTGCTCTTGCCTTTTTCCAGGCCAGTGGAGCCCCTCAGAGCCGGCGGCCTGGAGATGGGAGGGAGGGAGGGAGCCCTAGAGGACGGGCTCCTAGCCCCACTCCTCCTCAAGACCTGGGCGCTGGCCTGTCCCCTGCCTTTGCCCTGATGGGGATGAGGGAGAGGAGATTGGGTCAGGGAGCAATTGTGGCTGTTGGGGAAGGTGACTTGGATGCAGCGTTTGAAGGAGATGCTATTAGTAAATCCCATTGGTTAAGATCCACTGTCCCCCATGACCCTTCGTATTTGTGTGTGTGTGTTTTGCACAGGGTCTCGGTCTGTTGCCCGGGCTGGAGTGCAGTGGTTTGATCTTGGCTCACTGCAACTTCCACTTCCTGGGCACAAGCAGCCCTCCTGCGTCAGCCTCCTGATTAGCTCAGACTACAGGCATGTGCCACCACACCCAGCTAATTTTGCTGTATTGTTAGTAGAGACAGAGTTTTGCCATGTTGCTCAGGCTGGTCTCAAACTCCTGGACTCAAGTGATCTGCCTGCCTTGGCCTCCCACAGTGCTGGGATTACAGGTGTGAACCCCCGCCCCCAGCCCTCATGATTGTTTGTAAGACTGAGGGAAAAAGAAGAGGGTGAGGAGCCCCTCTCCTCAGCAATGAATGCAAGTACCCTCAAGGTAGCTCTTGGCAAAGCCCTGTGTTCCCATTGGCTGTTGAAGTTGAGTGGCGTCCCGCACTTCCGTGGGTTGAAGTTCTAATTCTCAGGACCCCCGAACCCGACCATACTTGGAAATAGAGTCTTTGCAGATGTGATGAGTTGAGATGGGGCCTTACAGGAGCAGGGCAGTATGACTGTATCCTCATAAGAAGAGGGGACACAGAAACAGACATACACAGGGAGATGCCACCAGAAGCCAAGGCTCGCTAGTGACTCCCAAAGCTTCCAGAAAGCCTGGAGCAGCCCCGCCCCCCAAAGAAACTAGGCCTGCGGGCACTTGGACGTGAGGCATCCAGCCTCCAGAACTGGGGGAGGATGAGACGCTGTTGTTTCAGCCATTCAGGTCGAGGTCCTTTGTTGCAGGAGCAGAGTGGGTGCTTCCCGCTGGAGACGGCCAGTCCCTGCAGGGGAGGCAGTGGTCCCCGTCCAGGAACGCGACAGAGGCTTTCACAGAGAGCGTCTTCATTTCGCCAGCTCACGTGGAGGCTGGTAGCGGCTGGAGCTTAGAGCAGCCCAAGGTCTAGGTCAGGTTTCCTCTGGATATACAAGGGCCCATCAACACCAGGTCAGCGTTAGCCAGGCTGGTCTGCAGGTGAGGATCGCCCAGGATGGAATGGAGCAGCCGAGTAACGAGGTGCCCGGTGTGTGCTCCCTGTGAGTCCTGAATATTCCTGTGCACGGACGGATGGACAGGAGGCTCAGTGGTCTCAGGGGATCGAGGGGAGCCCTTGCTGCTCTCCCTGTGGCTCTATCCCAGGACCAGGACGAAGAAGTCTGGCTGGGGCCAGAAGCAGAGCAGCTCACAGCAGGCCAGCCCTCCCAAGGAACAGGTGTCCCGTCCCAGAAACCTCCCTCCCACCATCGTTATCAGCGAAGGTGTCAGGGACTGGGAGGGGCCTCCTTGCTCCTTCCTGGATGCCCCCTGGGGTTGAGCTGGAGAGGTGGAGCCGTGCTTAGGAAGACCAGCCCAGTGGGCAGCTGCCCAGCAGCTCAGCAGTGAGAAGAGGCCACATGTAAGAAGGAAATGCCATTACCCCGCTGGACAATGGGAGCAGAACTCCAGAGAGGGGGTCTTGCATGTAGGCAGCCATGCGGATTTGACAGTGTCTCAGCAGAGCAGGGCGCTGGTCTGGGACTCCAGTTCACAGCTGTCCCCAGCACGTAGGGAAAGCTGCCCCAGGTACCATGGGTGGACAGAAGCACAGACCCTTCACAAGGTGGCCGTGATCACGTCAGACCCTAGCAGCACTTGAGGGCTGCAGCAGGAGACCGAGTCCTCTCTTCTGACCAGGCAGCCAGGAGAACTTGCTGCCCCTGAACCCAGCCGCCTGCCATCTGCCCAGCTTTGGTCTCCGCCTAGTGCCCCGAGAGAGCCCTTTTTCTAGCCTGGGATAGAGCCTCTCAGCCGTTCCTTTGTGTCATGGGATGCTTTCCCACTTCTGCGTGGTTTCCGTCCATGACGGTGCCCCTGCTCTCCGGATGGCAGCGTCCCCACCTCTCAAGAGTGCTTCACAGTGGCAGGCTCTGACTCAGAGTCTCCCACCTACTCAGTGGCTAAAGGGCGCAGGCGATCCCCGAATCCTGCTACCTCGAGGAATTTCTCAGAGTCCCACGTCCTCCACAGAACCAGAGGACTGGGCAAGACTCAAAGCTTTGAAGAATGGAACACGCAGGTGTGCAGAGACCTTTTATTACCCACGGACTGTCCTTGCCTGGGAAGCTGAGTGCCCTGAGGCTCTGAGCAGGACAAATCCCAGAGGCACAGGTCCAGGGCATTCCGCCTCATCCCAGTGCACCCAGACCACCAACTGTGGGCTCTTCCAGTCCTGCTCCATCTTCAGGAGAGTCTAGTGAGGTGGGGAGGGCACGTGTATGTGTGCACATGCGTGTAGGCATGTGACGTGGGACAGCTTGTCCAGACTCCACACCAAAGGCTGGTGGGGGCCAGCTGGGAGGTAGTTGTGCCTTCTGAGGATGGACCGCACAGCTGTGCCCAGCACAAGTCAGAACTGTTCGTTTCTGCTGCAAGGGAATGAGGCAGCCTCTCGAGTCAGCCAGCGGCACTGCCAACCCATGCAGGTAGCTACCCCCACAGGCGCTGACTTTCGGAAGGCAGACCCAGAGACGTGACCACGATGCAGTGGAACCAGGCTCTTGTTCTGATGAAAGTCTTCCCTGGGAGAGTGGGGCTCAGCGGAATGGGCTCCGTGGGTGACTGTTCCCCGCCCCAGTGGCCTGTGGTGGATGCACCAGGTGTGAGGCTGAGCCCTGTACTCCCAGACTTGCGGCTCCTCTGGCAGCAGGAGGGACACCAGCGCTCAGGGTGAGGCCCATCCCTCCTACCTGCGCCAACCACACGCCTCTCAGGGGCCCAGGCAGCAGCCAGCCTCCTCGTGCCGCGCCAGGAGGGACATGCGGGAGAAGGTCTTGGTGCAGCGCGGGCACTGGTACTTCTTGGTGTCCGAGTGCGTTTGCAGATGGGCCCGAAGGTTGGAACGGTCGGCAAAGGCCCTGCTGCAGTGCGAGCAGGCATAAGGCTTCTCCCCTATGGGAGGAAGAAGGGGGCCAGTGAGTGGCCCTCCGGGTGGTGACACCATGGAAGGGGGCTTGAAGGCTACAGTACCCACTCTGACCATCAGTGAATGATCCCATCCTTTCCTTACAAATGCTCACAGCCCAAGCACCAAAGGTTGAACTGTGTGGGGATGGGGTGGCACACCTGGGTGAGACCACACTGCCTGAAGCCCCTCCCAGGAGCACAGGAACCACAGGCACTGGATCTGCCATTGTTGCTGCAAGAGCCCTTCTGGGGGCCTTGGCTGCTGGGAGAGGATGGGGGAAGTCCTAGGGGCCTCTGGCAGCTGTTTCTGGCCAATGACATGCAGGTGGTTGGGGGTGGGGTGGCCCCGTCCAGTGGAATCCAGAGCAGGGGTGGAGCCATGGTCCTTGAGGAGGCAGCTTTTTAGGAACCACCTCCCATAAGGACAACAGGAGATCTGGACAAAGTCCTGTTGGGACCTTGGCCCAACACATGTAAAGGGAAGGGTGACTGGGAATCGTCTGTTCAGTCCTGTAGCCCCATAGAGTCCTAAAAGACCCCAGCCTATAGCCCCTGAGGGGCCCAGAGCACCTGCATTCCTGCTGGTGGGACACTGGACATGCTCCTGGCCAGGCCAGCCTCCTGCAGGACCTCCCACACTCCTCACTCCCAGGCTGAGGGCACAAGGCCCCAACAGGCTCCCACCTGGGTGTGGCCCGGGGTCCTTTGGCCTGGAAAGCAGGTGTTTGGGGGGGTGTTCTCATCAAAGGGTTGGGAAACCCAGAATGGATTTCTCAGAGCCCTGGAAAAAGCTGCCTCTCTGGCCTGTACCCAGGTGTGACTGAAGGTCCTAGTCACAAGAGTCATGACCTAAGGGTTAGGGAACCTCCAGTTAGGAAAAGTGTTAACTAGAGCTGGGTGCAGTGCTCACGCCTGTAATCACAGCACTTTGAGAGGCCGAGACAGGTAGATCACTAGGTCAGGAGTTCAAGACCAGCCTGGCCAAGATGGTGAAACCCCATCTCTACTAAAAAAAAAATTAGCCAGGCATGTTGGCAGGCACCTGTAATCCCAGCTACCTAGGAGGCTGAGGCAGAGAATTGCTTGAACCCAGGAGGCGGAGGTTGCAGTAAGCCGAGATTGTGCCACTGCTCTCTAGCTTGGGCAACAGAGCGAGACTCCATCTCAAAAGAAAAGAAAAGACGGCCGGGCGCGGTGGCTCAAGCCTGTAATCCCAGCACTTTGGGAGGCCGAGGCGGGCGGATCACGAGGTCAAGAGATCGAGACCATCCCGGTCAACATGGTGAAACCCCGTCTCTACTCAAAATACAAAAAATTAGCTGGGCATGGTGGCACATGCCTGTAATCCCAGCTACTCAGAAGGCTGAGGCAGGAGAATTGCCTGAACCCAGGAGGCGGAGGTTGCGGTGAGCCGAGATCGTGCCATTGCACTCCAGCCTGGGTAACAACAGCGAAACTCCGTCACAAAAAAAAAAAAAAAAAAAAAAAAAAAAAGAAGTGTGAACTAGTAGGGCGCAGTGGTTCACACCTGTAATCCCAGCACTTTGGGAGGCCAAGGCAGGAAGACCGATTGAGCCCAGGAGTTCAAGACCAGCCTGGGCAACACAGCAAGACCCCTGTCTCTACAAATAATTTAAAAATTGGCTGAGCATGGTGATGCACATCTGTGGTCTCAGCTACTCAGGAGAATCATTTGAACCCGGACAGTCAGAGCTCCAGCAAGCTGTGATCAAACTGCTGCACTCCAGCCTGAGCGACAGAGCCAGACCCCTACTCAGACAACAGAGAAAATGTGTGAGCCTCTGGGCCTGACGTGGAGACTGGAGCTGATCCCTGGAGGTCGTTCTTCCTTTCTGTGTTTATTCTTTGCATGCTGAGGTTGACGGGAAGCCCTGGGTGGAGGCCGCTGGCTGGCTCTTCGGCCACTTGTGTACTCTAAGGCAATATTTTGTTGATTTTATTTATTTCATTTTTTTGGAGACTGAGTCTCAGTCTGTTGCTAAGGCTGGAGTGTCGTGCCTACCATCTCTGCTCACTGCAATCTTTGCCTCCTGGGTTCAAGCAATTCTCCTGCCTCAGTCTCCCGAGTACCTGGGATTACAGGTGTCTACCACCATGCCAGGATAATTTTTGTATTTTTAGTAGAGACAGGGTTTCACTATGTTGTCTAGGCTGGTGTTGAACTCATGACCTCAGGTGATCCACCCGCCTCAGCCTCCCAAAGTATTGGGATTATAGGTGTGAGCCACCGTGCCTGGCGTGTTTTGGTTTTTGTTTTGAGTTGGGGTCTCGCCCTGTTGCCCAGGCTGGAGTGCTGTGGCATGACCACAGCTCACTGCAGCCTCAGCCTCCTGGCCTGAAGTGATCCTCCTGCCTCAACCTCCCAAAATGCGGGGATTACAAGTGTGGCTTCCACACTGGCCCCTGCTAACACCTGGATTTTGGACTTCTGGCCTCTGGTCTCAGGCACTTTGTATAGCAGCCCTGGGAGCAGATAAGTCAGGAGGCAGAAGCCAAATGTGAATCCAGTGCCACTGTTTCTAAAATCACCCCTCCTCCTCTTAGGCCCAGCCCAGACTGTTCCTGCAGACCCTCAGCCCGCCCTACCTGTGTGGGTGCGGACGTGGCCCTGCAGCAGCCAGGGCCTGGAGAAGGCCTTGCCGCAGATCGTGCAGGCGCAGGGCAGCGTGTGGGTGCGGATGTGCATCTTGAGGGCGCCCAGGCTGGTGTACTCCTTGTCGCAGTACCTGCAGGTGAACACGCGCCCTGCCTGCAGGTGGCAGTGCAGCTGCCGGTGCCGGGCCAGCCCAGCCAGCGTGTGGTAGGGCTTGCGGCAGTGGAAGCACTCAAAGCCGCTGGGGGCTCGGGGCAGCCTCTCAGCCCCAAGCAGTTTTTCTGGAGCCCCATCCTGGTCTGGGCCCAGGATTGGGGACCACCGTGTGGGCAGCACCAGCAGTGGTGGCAGGTTGAGGTGGTTCAGACTGTCTTTGAGGGGTACACTGGGGGCCCGGCTGGCCCGAGGGTCAACCCCACTGACTTCCAGAGCATCTGGTCCAGAGGCCCCCAGAGCTTCCTCAAGCTGTGGCAGGAGGGGTAGGGAGATGCAGGCGAAGGCCGAGGAGCGGTCCCAGGGCTGGGGAAGGTCGCCAGGTACAGAAGGGGCCTCCTTGTCTTGGGGGAGAAGGGGCACCACTAGCCCCCGACGGGCAGAGCAGGCACCATTGATTTCTAGAAGGGTGGAGGGGAGATAAAGTATAAAGATGAAGGCCGACCGAGTGCCCAGCACTTGGGGTTTTCCAATTCCAATTCATGGACCCGATCCCAGCCTATCAGCAGCCCCGCAGCGCCAGAGGAGTGGCGGGGAGCCCAAGCACAGACCCAGCTTGCAGAGGAGCTGACGGTGCTGTGCAGGGAAGTGACGGCGTGGCCAGGAGCGCAGGCATCTAGAACTGGAAGGCCCAACGATCTAGAGAGAATCTCGCTTCCTCTTTAAACGCAAAGAAGAGAAACATCTCATGGGACCCCTGCGGTTCAGGAACATGAAACAGACCTCATGGGACAAAGGAGGGCCCTTTAGGCGTCAGCTGGGTGGCACCTCCAGTAAGCCCCCACCCACCTCTGGAGAGGCCCCAGCCTGGCCCAGCATCCTCCAGGCGCCCACGAGGCAGCCATAAGTCAGACGCTTGGCAGTAAGGTGCCATCAGCCCCCGCAATGTGCCAGCTGAGTGTAAATTACAATCAGCCCCCTCACAACTCAGCCTCCAGTCACCCCGCAGTCGCTCCTCGGGCATCTCCTTTTGTGGATAATGAGGCAGTGAGCTCAGAAGCCGCCCTGGCACTGGCTCGTGCCCACTCTGCTGCTCTCTTAACACAGCTGAGCCACATGGCTGGGGTGCTCTAGCTGGGGCTTTCAGAATAACCCGTGGTTGCACTGCTCCTCAGGATGGCGGTTCCTGTGTTTGGGGGCTGGCACATTGCACACCACATGGCTGATGCATTTAAGGGCAGCAACCCCCAAATAAACAGGTTAGTCTGCAGGTAAGAGTTAAATTAATTCTGGATTTCCCCAGGCTAAACCCTCCCAACAGCCCTCAATCCCTTTCTTACTCTCTATGTGTTAAAATAGATTTTTGGCGCTATTTCTACTTCCACACTGAGGCTTTGGGTAGAGAAAGACAACCCACAGAAAAGGAGAAAATCTTTGCAAGTCAGACTTCTGATCAGGAATAGCATCTAGAACACTAGAACATGTTAAGGAGTTTGCATGTCAACAATAAAAAGACATAATACAATTTTAATATGAGCAAACTTTTTTTTTTTTTTTGAGACTGAGTCTTGCTCTGTCACCAGGCTGGAGTGCAGTGGCACAATCTCGGCTCACAGCAACTTACGCCTCCCAGGTTCAATCGATTCTCTTGTCTCAGCCTCCCAAGTAGCTGGGATTACAGACATGCACCACCACACCTGGCTAATTTTTGTTTGTTTGTTTGTTTGTTTGTATTTTTAGTAGAGACAAGGTTTCACCATGTTGATCAGGCTGGTCTTGAGCTCCTGACCTCATGATCCACTCAATTCAGCTTCCCAAAGTGTTGGGATTACAGGTGTGAGCCGCCGCGCCCGGCCATTTTTTTTTTTTTTTTTTTTAACAGTCTCTCACTGTCGCTCAGGCTGGAGTGCAGTGGCATGAACTGAGTTCATTGCAACCTGCAACCTCCACCTCCCAGGTTCAGATGATTCGACTGCCTCAGACTCCTCAGTAGCTGGACTACAGTTGTGTGCCACCACGCCTGGCTAATTTTTTTTTTTTTTTTTCGAGACAGAGTCTTGCTGTGTCACGCAGGCTGGAGTGCTGTGGCACTATCTCAGCTCATTGCAACCTCTGCCTCCCGGGTTCAAGCGATTCTCCTGCCTCAGCCTCCTGATAGCTGGGATGACAGGTGCCCGCCACCATGTCCAGGTAATTTTCATATTTTTAGTAGAGATGGGGTTTTGCCACCTTGGCCAGACTGGTCTTGAACTCCTGGCCTCAAGTGATCTGCCCACCTCGGGCCTCCCAAAGTGCTGAGGTTACAAGGCGTGAGCCACTGTGCCCTGCCTGGACAAGGGATTTGAATAGCTATTTCTCCAAAGGCAATACACAAATGGCCAGTGAACACATGCAAAGATGCTCAACACCATTATCCACCAGGGAAGCACAAATCATAACCACAGCGAGACACTCACACCCAGTAGGATTGAAAAAAATAGACAATCACAAGTGCTGTGTGGATAAGGGAAACAGAGAATTCAAAGGAATGTTTCCTGTCTGCTACTCCTTCCTGTCTTGACCTCCTCCCACCCCCAGTTCTCCTAGTTACAAAGTCATCAGGTTTCTGTCCACCCAGAAGTGGGGGCAATGACAGGATAAGAGGGAACATCCAAGGGAATTCTGGGGAGACCACACTGGGGAGCCCAGGGTTGCCCGGCTTTACTGGGGCCTCTGCAGGAGAAAGTCACCGTTTCTTGTCTCCATCTCTAAGACTTGGCAACCTTTCTGGCTCCAGGTATTATCACAGAGCTGGGACCCTGTTTGTGGACCCAGTGGCTGAGCCAAGAGGCAAACGGGCCGAGAGACGGCCTCTCCCCGACAGGCTGCCCGTGTGCTTCTGCTGCGATTTTAAACGCTTTCCCCATACTCGCTAGGTTTTACTTGCCTTTTTATTCTTCTGCTGTCCAGATCCTGGGGAGAAGAGACTGTTTTGTTTTTTTTTTTTCAGACGGAGTCTCACTCTGTCTCCCAGGCTGGAGAGCAGTGGCGCAATCTCGGCCCACTGCAACGCCTGCCTCCCGGGTTGAAGTGATTCTCTTACCTAGCCTCCCAAGCAGCTGGGATTACAGGCACCCACCATTACACCTAACTAACTTTTGTATTTCTGGTAGAGACGGGGTTTCTCCATGTTAGTCAGGCTGGTCTCGAACTCCTGACCTCAGGTGATCTGCCCGCCTCGGCCTCCCAAAGTGCTGGAATTACAGGCGTGAGCCACTGTGCCCTGACAGGAGACTGTTAAGTATCCTGCTGGCTTCAGGGGTTCCCTGGGGAGCCATAGGAGCCACTTATTTAAAAGGAGAGGGGCCGGGCACGGTGGCTCAAGCCTGTAATCCCAGCACTTTGGGAGGCCGAGGCGGGTGGATCACGAGGTCAGGAGATCGAGACCATCTTGGTCAACATGGTGAAACCCCGTCTCTACTAAAAATACAAAAAATTAGCTGGGCATGGTGGCACGTGCCTGTAATCCCAGCTACTCAGGAGGCTGAGGCAGGAGAATTGCCTGAACCCAGGAGGCGGAGGTTGTGGTGAGCCGAGATCGTGCCATTGCACTCCAGCCTGGGTAACAAGAGCGAAAACTCCATCTCAAAAAAATAAATAAATAAATAAAAAATAAAAAAATGAGAGATTGAGGGACCCAAAACCCCAGCACCTCAGATGTATCCTGGGGTAACATCTTGGCAGAAAGTCACCAGGGCCCCCTGGCTATTAGAAAGCCAGGTGGTTGGGGCTGCAGTGAGGAGGGGAGTGGTGAGGAGAGGACCAGAGAGCGCTGCGGGGCAACAAGGCTACTCACGACAGTCACCCTCTGGGCCCCGCTCAGCTACCCAGGTTTGCACACGGATGCTGAGGTGCGTTCACTGTGTGGCTGGACCTTCAGCAACACTTTGAAACTTGGGACTATGGCCTATGTAAATTCTGTTTTCCATCACGTCTGAACTCACATGTACATCCACATCCACAAAACAAGCCAGTGCCCTTCCCCAAGAGCACGGCACTCCAATAGTTTCTGTTCTATTTTATTTTACAGAATTGCTGGTGGTGACTCATGAAACTGATTTCAAAATGTACATTTTAAAAGCACAGTCCTAGCTGGCACCCCCTGGTGGCAGCCTGGGCCTCGGGTGTGGATCCAGGTGGGACCCTCCTGCCCCCAACTCTGGTTCTGAGCTGGGATAAAGATCTGTTGGGGGTGTTTCTGGAGGCCCCAGCCCCAGCAGTGCCCTTCCTGCCCTCTCCCCCGAGCCACAGAGCGTGAGTCCCAACTGCTGTGTCCACTGGGGCCCCTCAGTGAGCTTTGTCCCAAGAAGCTGCCAAGCCAGGTGGGGACTGCTCTGACTGCCCGTGTGGCAGACTGTCCTCTGAAGGACAGAGTTCTCTCCTGTAGTGTCCCTGTGCCTAGCAGGCAGTGAGAATGAGTGGACATCCCGATTGCTGGGCACACATCTCCCCAGCCCAGCCAGTGTGTAGAGGATTGCAGCCGCTTAGCCAAGCCTGCCGGTGTGAGCAAGAGAGGGCTTCTGGAGCGAGGGGAGATTGGGGGAGGGAGGGAGGCCATGGGAGGAGGCTCACCTGAACTGAGGCAGGAGGGGCAGTGCCTTTGCAGCAGAAGGAGCTCATGGGTCCCCCTTCTCCCCATCCCCTGTGCTTACCACTCCTGGTCAGCATGCCCCGCGGGTCCCTCAGCAGGGCAGTCCCAGACGGCCCTCCTTCCCTCCCAACACCCCGCAACCCCTCCCAAACCCATGTGCCAGTAAGATGACCCTGGGGTCCCTGTCGCTGGGGCTCAAGTGGTGGGGATGGGAGGCCGTGAATTCCGGGGGTGAATTCCAGGGCGACACGGGGGCTTAGAAAACTTCTCCAAGAGGGGAAAGAATCTGCCCGCCCTGCCAGAGGCGGGACTCAGTTCCCTAAGCAGAGGCGCCCGTGGGCCACCTACCTCCCTGCAGCCGCAGCCGCCGCGCAGAGGCGCTGGCTCCTTCTCCTCCCACCTGGGACAGGTGTCCCCACACCTCCCGCTCCCAGGGGACTCTCTCCCGCCCCGCAGGCTCTAGTCCCGTCAGGGGGTCGGGCAGCCGGTACCTCTCTGCGTCTCCAGCCGCCCGTAGTTGGGGACCCTGTGGCTGGAGTGAGTTTTCACCAGGAAGGAGCGCGGCATGGTCCCTCCCGAGCGGCGGGCCGGGGCGGGAGGGGCGAGAGCAGGTCGCGACTGCGGCGTCCGCGGGCCCCGCCGCCCGGCCGGGCAGGTGCGGAAGGGGTCAGGCTTATTAGCATACCGCGGCACCTCCGCCAACCAGCGCCTGGCGCGAGCTGGGCGGGGCCCCTGGGCGGGGCGGGGCAGCAGCCGCGGGCGCCACGCCCGGGACAGGTGCGCGGGCGGGTCGGGGAGCGCGTGGCCGTCGGTGTCTTCCCCACGGGACTTCCCTGGCGCGTGCACCGCCGAGTCACACACCGACCCCTCGGGCCTGGCCACCCACTCGCCGTGAATTAAAGGGCAGAGTTCAAGGTTGAGCGGAAACCGAGCTGGGCTCCTGTCCACACAGCGTGGAAGCGCCGGCCGAGCCCAGTCCTCGGGAACCCTTGCTGCGGCGGATGACGCCTATCCCATGGCCGCGCCTCCCCATCCGTTCTTCAAACCCACGCGGCAGGATTCAGGAGCAGAGCCCTGAGAGTCCAAAGCTGACCCGACTGACCAGCCCTAGTGACGGCCCAGGGTCGCTGTCCTGGAACCGGCCAGGGTCGAGTGGCCTGGGGACAGTGGCCCTTTCTGGGTGGGCTGCAGTCTCCCAAGGCTCCCCCGCTGGAGACAGCCCTTTAGGGAGTTTGCCCAGTTCTTCCAGAAGGCACTTTTTGGGGGTTGGGGGGGGATACAGGACTCGGGTTGTAATTCTGGAATTCCCAAGGGGTCAGAATGGTTATGGGAAGTTTAATAAAACTGGCAAATCACATGAATTCTGCAACAGCTGCACGCGTGACCTGAGCCAGCCGTTTCCCTCCTTTGTTATCCTGCAGAAGTGCCATACAGAGCTGGGAGCCCGTGTCCAGTGTCTGGGTCCCTTTTGACGTGAATGTTTCATAAGGTTGGGGGCCAGGTGGGGTGTCTCTGGGCTGGTGTGCACATAGGTGTGTCCATGACCGTGCTGCAGGCCTGCCTCCCCACCAGGGCTTCCACCTGAGAGCTGGGTGCCCTTTTCCCTCTGTGGGCCGGGGGTGGGGAAGGTGGGGAGTGGTGAGTTCATGGAAGCACTGAGGGAGACAGCGGGGAGGAGGGGCATCCAACACCCCACGTCCAGGGTGTGAGAAGCTGGGGTAGTATCAGCCCTGCTTTGCCAGTGAAAAACCCAAGACTCTCAGAGTGGGCTCAGCAGCTCACGCCTGTAATCCCGGCTCTGTGGGAGACTGACAGAGGAATGCTTGAGCCCAGGAGTTTGAGAGCAGCCTGAAAAACAAGATGAGACCCCATCTCTGCAAAAAACTTTAATTAGCCAGTCGCGGCAATGTCCCTCTTCAGTCCCAGCTACTCAAGAGGCTGAGGAGGGAGGATGGCTTGTTGGACCAGCCTCCAGAAGGTGGAGGCTGCAGAGAGCTGTGATCACCGTCACTGCACTCCAGTCGGCAACAGAGACAGACCATGCCTCAAAACATTTAAAAAAAAAAAAAAAGAAGAAAGAAAAAGAGAAGACCAAGGCTGTGAGAAGTTAGGACGCAGTGGGATTGGGACCCAGCCCCAGTCCGGCTTGTCGGCCACTTAGCGAGGGGGAGTGGGAGGACAGGTGGGGGCGACCCTGGAAGAAGGTTCCCGCCTCTCCTGCAACCACGGCCTGGCACCACCCTGGCGGGAGTGTGGATTTCAGACACATGCCTGCCTTCTGCTTATTCACCTGTTCCTTGCCTCGAAAGGTTTCTATTTATATCCTCCCTTCCTTCCCTCTCCCCCTCACAGACACAGATAATGCTTGCAGATACCTGAGCCAAGCCACCACCCACACTGTCCCTCCCCACCCACCTACCCATTGTGTGGCCATCCGCCAAGCCCCAGCAAGCTTATGTCCTAATCCAGCAAGAGCTGCGTGCTATCCAGCGCAGCCGTAGCCTTCCCGTGGAGAATGGCTGATCTTACCCTGGGAACGCCCCAGAGGGTCTGAGAGCCTCAGAGCACCTTTGGGGTCAGGCCCTAGGGCTCCCCCAGCAACTCCCCACAATCCCCGGCCAGGGACGCTTGAATCCGTTTCAGACTCATTCCAGCTGTGACGCACAGGGCAGTGTCCAGGCTGGACCCAAGGAGGCCCCACAGAGGGAAGCTCAGCGTCTCCCTTCCCACGTGTGCTGCCTTGGGGAGGGAGGGCAGCCGTCTCCATCCCTTCCTGGTCCTCCGGTCCTCAGTGCTGGCCGCTTGGCTCTGGGGGTTAACCTTACGTGCTCCTGTGTGGGAACCCCTGGCCCACAGCCTGCTAGACTCGCCGTCCTGAACTGCAGCAGGCGATCCCAGCTCTCGCCCTCTTCCCTGGACATCCAGGACCTCAGAATGATGAGTTGTGCTGGGCCTGGCAGCCCGGCCCCTCCCACCTGCCTGCATCAGACACCCAACAGCAGTTTTCCGGTGAGGAGCCCACCCCAGGAACTGCTGATCAGGGCAAATATGGTCACAATTCCATTTATGTTGACGTTTTCTTCCCATGCGTATGTTCTCCTGCTTTTCTGGCTTTACAGTGGATGTAAATGCAGTGCCTGGAGATGTGCATACGTGTATCCATCTGGGTATATGTCTCTGTCACCCTTGACTGCTTTTTGCTTTTTGCTTTAATTTAATTTTTTAAAAGATATGGGATTTCACCATGTTGGCCAGGCTGGTCTCAAACTCCTGACCTCAGGTGATTAGCCCATCTTGGCCTCCCAAAGTGCTGGGATTACAGGTGTGAGCCTTGTTTATTTGTTTTGAGAGGGAATCTCACTCTGTCACCCAGACTGGAGTGCAGTGGAGTGATCTTGGTGATCTCGGCTCACTGCAACCCCCACCTCCTGGGTTCAAGTGATTTTCCTGCCTCAGCCTCCTAAGTAGCTGGGATTACAGGGATTACAGGTGTGCACTACCACAGCCGGAGATTTTTGTGGAGGTTTTTTTTTTTTTTTTTTTTTTTTTTTTTTTTTGAGACAGAGTCTATCTTTGGCCAGACTGGAGTGCAGTAGCACGATCTCAGCTCACTGCAACCTCTAACTCCCTGGGTCAATGATTCTCCTGCCTCAGCCTCCTGAGTAGCTGGGATTACAGGTGCCCACCACCATACCTGGCTAATTTTTGTATTTTCAGTAGAAACGGCGTTTCACCACGTTGGCCAGGCTGGTCTTCAACTCCTGACCTCAGCTGATCTGCCCACCTCAGCCTCCCAAAGTGTTGGGATTACAGGCGTGCACCACCGCTTCTGGCCCGAAGGGTGGTTGTTAAGCTGGGATTCAGTGGACACGTTCTGTGTGGTACGGGGGTCCCGAGAGGCAGACAGGGTTGTTGTCAGAGCCCCAGCTACACTGGCTTTCAGTGGCAGTGCCTGGTGGCTGGCAGCCCTGTGCGCTTGGGAGATGAAGGGGTTGGACATGGTGTTTGCCGTGTGCTTTGCACCGTATGTGTCTTGCCCGGCAAATGGTGCAATGCCTGGTTGTCTGACCTGCAACCAGGAGTCCCTCCAGAAAACTTGCTGACACTGGCAGACACCCTGCGGCTCTTGTCTGATTTGCGTCCAGGTTATACCTGCCTGTACCATCACTCTGGTGCTGGGAGCCTGCCCTGTGTCCCCGCGTCTCTGAGAAAACCCAGCCTCGGCAGCCCCTGGTTCTTCTTGTGGAAGGTGTAAATTCAGTCTTCACCACAATAGGAAACATGTTCGAAGACTTACTAGTCACAGATCCTGGGCAGGGACTGGCGCCAGGAGTGGGGACAGCCATCGTCCATCCCAAGATTCTATGAGGCAGAAGTGAAAGTTCGGGCAGAGAGAAGAGGGCGTGTGGCAATGAGCCGTATGCACAGGGAATGGGGAGTGGTCAGCCCAGGTTCATGGGCAAATGCCTGAATGGACTTATGAAAGGAAGTGCAGGGAGATGGGGGCCCAGGCTTCTGGCAGGAGAGAAGACGCCTCTGAGTGCTCATCTCTGGCAGCCAGCATGGGTGCCTGGGCATGGTGTCCTCCTGGTGCCCAGGCTGCAGGCTTGGCTGTGCTGCCCGTTACAACCTTCCCTACCAACATCGCCTGTGACACGTGGACCTGCAGGAGCAGATGCCTCAGCACAGGCCAGGGAGAGCGATGGTGCTGAGTGGCCCTCGGACTGGGAGCAGATGAGGTGAGAATTGAACCATCAAGTAGCGAGGCAGTGTGCATGTGTGTCTGCAGGTCACAGGGGTGTTTGTGTGTGTGTCTATGGGCATATGCATGTGGGAAGTGGCAGTAGCTGCTCTGAGGTGGCATGGAAGCTGGGCCTCAGCGGGCAAGCGCCGGGCGCCAGGAGAGGGGTCTGTGAGGTCCCCAGTGTCGTCCTGCAGAGTTGGATGCCTGCAGATTCCTCCGGTGCCAGCTCTGCCACCTGCTCTCTGCCAGCGACCTTTGAGCTTCCCACCTGCCATGTTAGAGCTGACACCTGCCTGGGAGGCAGGCAGTGGGGAGGCTGTGGGGCCGCTGGGCGGCTGCCGGGAAGGAGGAACTGGTGGCCCGCTGAGTGCATTCTCCCTCCCAGCCACAAGGAGGACAAAGCCCGCTGGGTAAGGGGCTGGGGCCGTACCACACCTGGGATCTGGATGAGTGCCATCCAGGGCTCCTGCGAAGCAAGGTGGGCCTGGGGCAGGGGGACCTGGGGTGGGGAACCTGGCATCCCTTCCAGATGCAGGTCAGCACGGGTTGCGACAGGTGTGACGGCGCTTTCTCCGTGGCCTGCACCCTGGGTTACCGCATCAGCAGGGTCAGGGCTGCGGGCAGAAGTCGCACAGTCCTCGGAGTCCCCGTGCCTCCAGAAATGCCAGGGACAGCATCAACAGGGTGCCGGTGGACAGCACGGTAGACTGAACTGTGTGTCCCTAAAAGATGTTGGGGTCCCACCCCCACCTCTGGGCATGGGGCCTTATTGAAAATAGAGTTGTCTGGGCGCAGTGGCTCACGCCTGTAATCCCAGCTCTTTGGGAGGCCAAGGCGGCCAGATCACGAGGTCAGGAGTTTGAGACCAGCCTGGCCAATGTGGTGAAACCCCATCTCTACTAAAAATACAAAAA